GATATTCTTTTCTCTTTTTTTTTCTTCTTTTTTTTATTTTTTTGTTCTCTTGCGTGCGTGCGTGTGAAAAAATAAATTTCATGGGGATGGGGCTTTATTTATAGTACTAGGTTTAAGAGACTTAGAAATGTAAGGGATTCCTCATTTTTGTAGGAATGAGATTCTATGGAAATCTAACTTGGTGACCAAGACAAAAACTCTTCTTCTCTTTTTTTCTTCAATTCTCGCGTTAAAATGATGAGTGGCCGAATTTATGTGTCCCATTTATCTTAGATTAATACTCATTCTCATTTATTGCTTAGGACTTTAATTAAATAGTTAAAAATTATGATTAAAGAGATTTTAATTAAGAAAATGAAATAGATGGGGACATCCAATTAATTCTCATTTATTACATATTTATTAATAAAATTAAATGGACGAAGATATCCACTTAATTTCTATTTAAATTATTAATGTCGAGCTTAGCAATAAAATAAAAATGCATGAAATTAATTATGCTCTTTTGAGGCGCTACATTCTATCCTCCTTAAAATATTCCCGTTTTCGAAAATAAGATCATCTAGAATCATCTAGTCTCTAACTAAAGATAAGATAAACAATAGGTACCTAATTACTTCCTTGACTTGGCTTAACTAGAGGTCAACATTCCTTCTCGAGTTCAAACTACTAACCTACCACTAAACCTTGGTTACTAAACTAATTGTGCTTTCGGCACGAGATGGCCATTGGCACCTTCTTTTGTTTCCAGGTTTCGATCTTGGGACTCGTGGTTTATGGGCCCACCATGCTTCCGCTGGGCTACTCTAATGAATTTGCCCCTCCTTAGTCTGCCTCCGGGTTCCTTTCTCTTCCATCAGAATTAACTAAAATTCAGAGTTACTTCTAAAGTTGATTTCAAAATAAAATCTTTAATATGAATAAATATTGATAAATGTTGGTTTTTTTAAAGCATACAAAAAATTAAATAACTAACTAGAGTTACATCTAAGTTGATTTCAAAACAAAATTTTCAGTATGATGAAGCATCGATGAAAGTTGTTTTTTTAAGCATATAAAACTTAAAACGTAACTAGAGTCATTCAAAAAAAAATTAAAAATAAGAAATCTCTGAAGATCCGAACCGAACCATACCGAACCAAACCGTTCTGATAGTCCAGAATACCGAACCGAAAATAAAAATCTCTGAACCGAACCGTTCCCATTTTTTGATACGGTTCTGGAGATCAAATTTAGTGAACTCCGAATTTCAGTATGATTCTGATTCTTGAGATTTCTCAATCTCCGAACCGCACCGACCAATGCTCACCCCTATGCGGTACAACTTTCAACAATCTATAGTAGACTAATTTGTCAAATCATTCAATCAAAACATGTAATTGCATAAAAGGATACAAAGATGAGACGAGCCACAGCTTCACATCCTTCATTTCCCAAAGAAAGTCATTCAAACAATAACATCATGAAAAGTATGAGCAGAACATCATTCAATAAACTGAGTAAAAGCAAGCATAACAAGTAAATGAACAATAGAATCTTCCTATATCAAGACTTATCATAACCATAAAATGGGCGAAGGCCGAGATTATTAACCATGTAAATTTCAAAGATATCAACATACATCAACAAAACTCAATCAGATTATTTTTATTAGCAAACAATTCTAGGCCTGGATTTTGGAAGATACTCCAACAGCACTTTCCATTCGGGAATACCAATCACCAATACGAGTGTTCTCCACCATGTCCTGACCAGACTTGAGGTAACGAATGGGCCTCAAAACACCGTAAACAGCAAGGTCAGCTAAATTGGGCTTTGTCCCACCTGGCCCAAAAAGGTTATGTAATAGAGATATTTAGCTATTGTTAGTCGTTTTGTAATATCTAAGTGTAATTATGTATACTCATGAAGAAAAGAGGATGTCAGACCTAGAAAATCTTGACCCTTGAGAGCATCCACCCATGTTTCCGCAGCTTCATATAACGAAGCACGTTCATCAGTGATGTTATATTTTTTCTTTAATTTTTTCGAGACAAAATACATTGCGGCAGCCCCAGCATATTTTGCTGTTATTCTCTCTGTGAAACTGAAGTTACCTGCATGTGTTTAAAAACAGAGGCTTGTTTGGAACAGCTGAAAAAGGAGATTAAAACAATTGTAAAAGGAAGAGTTATGGTGCACGGTTCATATGAGCTAATCAGAAAGTAGGAGAATCATTTATATTTTATACTGCATCTTGAAATCATTTCAAGTTGAAACACTGTTATTATTTACTGAAATAGAAAATCTCACCATGGCTAGTGATGTAGTCAAACGACTCAAGGGCTTCGGATGTGGATCGGTATATATTAGGCGACAGTATATGCACTAAGTGATTGTCGACCCAACTGCAATGGTGGCACTTGCATCACTATATGGATTTATTGAAAAAAATAAAATAGGATGTATGTGTAAAGAAAAGCCAATAACTCTCAACAGCAAAACAACTGAAGATCAATGTACTGAGGTTAGAACTACATAGACAACACAAAAAGATGCAATTTTAGGAGAGAAACTAGAAAACATCATCATTTGGACACCAAATTAAGAACGATTGCTATTACCAATTAAAAAAGCTTTCACATAGTTCATTGTTGGGGTCGACACAATAGATTATACACGAACAGCGAAAAGCAAAACAAAAGAGGTTAAGATTCTAAAAGAATGAGGAGAAAGAGCAAACATACCCACGCCACTTCTTCTCTTCACTATCTTCCCCAACAGAATCAGCTGGCAAATCAGGATGGATCTTTTTGGTCAACTTGTCTATTATATCTACATAGAAAAATATCCAAGAAGATGACGGGAAATCTTTTTTGTTAACTTCTCAATCAGACTTACAGAGGGAAGAAAATGAAAATAGATGATCCCATGAGCCAAAATTGACAATATTCTCCTTGACTACCTTTTTTCATGTTACTGGAAACATTAGATAATGTTGATTTTATATATTTTCAGTACCTGATGAGTTAACCATCTGCTCGCCATCCACCATCAGAATCGGCACTTTCTTGTAATCAGACCACTTTATTTCCTTTTTGCTGATAGGGTTGACCTCCACAATTTTGTAGGGGATATCATAGTAGTCCAGGAAAGCTGAAAACGTTATAGCATAGTTCAATGTTATACATGTTCCTTTATGTTATCTGTAATCCAAAAAACTTCACGAGATGGTGAATAACAAGACAGAATCATTAGCAATCTCAATGAGTGAAGAACTGAATCTTTTATGTGAACATTCATATGTTTAAGCTTCATTTCATTGAGCCATCTACATTCATATTACGTTAACCATCAACGGATCAAACCATATTCCAAATGAAGGTCAGTCAAGAAAATCAACGCAGATTAGCTAGCTAATTCAATCATGAACAGTTCTCCAAATGGTAGCCCACAAATTCCAGAAATCATGACAATACATTTTCACTAAATCGTAAAAAAATTGTAACAAAAAAGTTCTAACACAATTTCGATTGAGTGGCTTTAGAAAACAGAACGAATATAAAATCACTAGTGAGGATGAATACCTTTGACCTTGTTACAGAAAGGGCAAGCTTCGTACTGATACAGAACGACGTCCTTCGGCCGGAATTTCAACTGCACGGGCTCCTTCGCGTGGACCTCCTCCGCAAGCGTGGTGGCGGTCACCGAGAACAACATCGTCCCCGCGAAAGTGTGCGCGGCGGCGCTAGCTGATTGATTTCCGTAGATCCTGTTGTTCGAGAACCAGTGAGATTTAGCCGAAGAGTTACTGCTACTGTTCGTGCTGAAAAGAGCCGCCTGGAAGAGGCGGTCGTGGCGCTGGTTGGAGTAGTTCCCGGCGGCGACGCCTTCCACGGCGCGGCGAACGGAGGCAAGCCCGCTAACCCGCCTCATTTCAGGATGTATCTAAGGATTTTGTGAGAGATTCTAAGAAAAAAAATGTTCAATAGTTTGGCGAGGGTTTATGTGAACGGTGATGAGGGTTTTTGCTGTCTTGGCGAGGGTTTTAGAAGCTGTGCACTGTCGACGAGAAAGGAAATAAACTTGTGCGCGGCGGCGCGGAGCTGAACCGACTTGAGCCAATAAAATCGATCGCCGTCAAATGAAGCCCACCACCAAATGACAATATGTGGGCTTCAAGTCCATAATCCATATAGTCCACTAGTGAGAAAACTATAGGGAAATTTCATGTGTCCTACATGAAATTAAAAATATTTCAATAATACTATCCATACATAAGATATTGTGTTTCTACTTAATTGTGAAAAATATATTATATAAATCCCTAAGATTTAGTTACCTATAATTCGGCAACATGATATTCACTCCCCCACGATTTCTCCCCCACGACTTCCATTCTCTTACTAACAAAAAAAAAATAGCTTCATCAATATGGCAGCCCTCCTCTCACCGGCGTCTTCGAACATCTCCGATAGCTTTCACGCGAGCCCGCAAGCAACCCGACGAAGTGCGAACAACAACCGCCATCTCCACCGCCGACTATAAACACGCCGTCGCCGTACGAATCGCTTCCCCTTGAGCCGACGGCGCCCAACCTCCACCGCCAGATCCCGACGGTTCCCGTCAGACCGCTGTTGTCCAATAGAATTGATTGGGTACTCATTTGGGGCAGATCTTTGGGCCGCTCAACCCGATTCTTGTGTCGCTGTTTTATCCTGGCTGACACTCCATTACCGAAGCTGCAAGCTTTTAATGAGAGTCGCAGTGCTGCTATGTACAATACTAACAGTTTCTAAATTAATGATTATTTCATAAAATGTTGAACAGGTGAAAGTATATGTGCAGTATATTCTGGTATTTATTCATAGAAATAGACTGCGTAGTTTTAATATTTTTGGTTTATGTTCAGCAGCTTATTTTTATATGTGCAGTATAAGTATATTTTTGGTTTATGTTCAGTTTATTTTTGGTTTATGTTCAGCAATATATTGTTTGGTTTATGTTCAATATGTGTATTTTTTGTTTATGTACATATATATACCTAAAAACATAAAATAAGAACGATACCTAAAACATTGGTCTATACCTAAACAAATAGGTCTATATATTTTATTTATGTTTAGTATATATACTGAATATAATCTCGGTATATATACCTAAAATATAACCGAAAATATATATAATACGAAATTATTCATTTTTTTTAATCATTAATTATTCATTTGCATGCGTGTATTCATGTGAACGGGCTGCAACTGTATTTGACTTTTTCATGCTTTTATTTTGAAATCGAAAACAACAGGGATGTGGCGAGGTTGAGTAACAATAATAATAACGGTTATTATTGTTGGTAGGGGCCGTTATTATTTTTGGTAGGCGAAATTCATGGCTACTGGAAGTTTTCATCAGTTAACCCAATTAAAGGGATGTGGTATGTATGCAAATAAATGGGATGATTTTAGTGATTTTGCAAATAAAACTATATGGGTTGTACCCGCTTGACCCAATAAAATCGATCGCCGTCAAATGAAGCCCACCACCAAATGACAATATGTGGGCTTCAAGTCCATAATCCATATAGTCCACTAGTGAGAAATCTATACGTCTAGATCCATATCACAAACTAGTGAGAATCTCGTGCGATGCACTTCGTACCTTAGAATATTTTTTTAAAATTTTATTTTAACAATATATTAACTCGTTGGCTCGTTTATATTAATATAAATAATATTTTAACATATATATTTGTCTTTTAATACAGAAAAATAGTCATTTTACATATTTTGGTTCATCATAATGCTCAAATATTATTTTATTTAAAAATTTATTATCGTATAATGTCATTATTATTTATAACACTTATAGAACTAATATTTTTTATAATGATAAATATTTAATATTTATATTATTTATTGATCTACTTAAAGTAAATCCCTATTGCTATTATATAATGATTGATTTGACTTAAAATAAAATTTTGCCAATTAGACGCTTGCTTGTGTGATTTGGAAATAATTACGAGAATGAAAAAATAGCATTAATACTAAATCACAAGCAAATAATTAGGAAAATGCATAATATCAGTTACAAAAATAAAAATAATTGTGTTCCCTTTTTATTGTAACTGAAGGCAATAACAATAAGAAGAAAACTAAGGAGCATCCCCAAATCTTCCACCGCTTCTCCGCCGTCCGCCGCCACCCTAAGTTCCGCCCTCTTCAACAAAGCATTCCACCTCTCGCCATCGCTCTGGGACCTCACCGCCGGTAGGGAACACCACGACGTCAAGCGAGCCGAGAGCGGAGGTCCTGAAACCTTGTAGATTGAGCGCAAGGGTCGTGTGCATGTGCGAAGCAGCATCGTTCAGGTCGAGTATCGCTCGATCAGCATCGTCCTCGGATCGATCGACAAGGGAGACGACGTCGGAGGTGGAGGATCTGGCCTGGGAGATTTCTAGGGCTTAAGGTGGTCCAGGTTGACTGATTTATTGCCCTTCTTGAAGCCGACGAGCTTGGCAGATGAGAGAGGAGGGAGGAAAGGATGACAGTAATTTTTGAGTAGAAATTGGCGGCGGGGGCAGATGTCGCTGGAAAAAGATGGCGGCGATCTGAAGAGAAGGAAGATGGTCGATAAATTTCACTGGTCAAAGAATATTTTCAGTATATGTTGCGTTTGCACTCAGTATATATTCCTTATATATTGAGTTTTTATTTACATAAAATTTATCTAACTAAAATTGTGATGTTTGGATTTTGTTTACACTTTTTATTTATATTTTCTACTTAATTATATACCTACAGTCTGTGCAACATTTATATGTAGAACATATTATAAGCGCTCTCAGGATGTAAATAAAAAATTATACATACTAATTACTATTTTATTTTTTTATTTTATTTTATTTATTTATTTATTTATTTGGCTCAACCAAAATTCAGTTTGATTATGGGATATTATATACCTAGAGGAATATACCGGTTCACTACACGGGCCATACAAGCCTGATGTCGGAAATGCCACGTTGATCGAGCAATAACAGACTGAAAGGAAGTGGCCGAACACTGCAGCAGATCTGGTCGAGGATCGACCTACTAAATGAGAGCTCATCTGATCGACCACCCAGCGAATGAAGAGCAATCGAGAGCGTGATGTAGGCGCGAGGAAGCGCGTGGTCTTCTTCAGGAACTCCAAGGAATATTCAAGAGAATAATTACCCTCTTCTCAGAAGGGCACGTGGCGAGAGTACATTGGTGCAGAGTGATAGTGACGATAACTACCTCTGACACACACACACACTGTGTGTGTACGGATAGGCAGACAACTCACCAAATTCAGGCAGCTCCTAGGGCAGGTATCTCACTCCTATATATATAGGAGTGAGCCTTTCTTGTTAGACACGATTTATCCATTTTTTACTCTTGGGAATTGAGTGAAACACATACTGACTTAAGCATCGGAGGCTCTTCACTAGAAAACCCCTCCGGTGTGAGAGTTATTTGCAGGTACACGGTGTTCTACCGGCGAGGAGGAGGAAGACGAGTCTATTTCTAGCCGGTCCGATTGTTTTGTGTTACCATTTGACACTGTCTGTAGGACTTTCGTTCGAAAAAGTGGTGTGCTGAGGTTACTTGAGCTTAGTATCTATGGCGGACGGAATTCCTAGATTGAATCTGCAAGCGTCGTTCGATGAGGCTTGGACGACGACAAGGCCATTTGGAGAAGGCCCTTCTCCGGGCTTCTCTAGACCCTTGCATACACCGGTGACCTCAACGCCTATTCCTCAAGGTTTAGGGGCTGCACCGGTGCACTCAGAAGGAGATGTGGGCTCAAGTCGAGCTCGACGCCGTTACAACCAGATCTGGTCGTGGTGCAGCAACAGGGGGCGGTGGTGCAGAGAGTAGCACCGCTGCGGGTGGAGGAGCAGCATCCTGATCAGCAGGTGGTGATGAACAGACAAGAGATGCAACAGATGATGGCGAATGCAGCGGCACAAGAGGTCCAACAGGTCACGCAGAGACTCTATCGGGTGGCTACTGGGTCGACGGTGGCGGAAGAGGATGTGTCTAGTTATGGATGATATAGAGCCCCGCGAGATCGGGAAGTGGAGAGACTCGCGGAGCAGGTGAGACAAATGCAGGCCAAGATGGATGGTCGACCGGAGAGGCGTGCGCGAGGACATCCGTTCTCGGGAGATATATTGGTTGCACCATTACCAGAGAATTTTAGGGATATGAGTTTGGTGTTCGATGGGACTTTTGAACCGTCGAGGCATGTGAGAGCGTTTGAGAATATGGCTGTGTTACATGATTATTCTGATTCAGTTAGTTGCAGGGCATTTTTGTCGACCTTGAGAGGAGGTGCACTCGATTGGTTCCAGCAGCTCCCTCATGGATCGATCACATATTTCGAGGACTTTGCAGAAAAACTGACAACTCAATATGTGAGTGCTGTAGCCCAACAAAAGACGTATTTGACTTTGATGGCGATGAGGCAGGGAGAAGAAGAATTTGACATAGACGAGATGGAAATTGACAGAAACATCATTGAAAGCGATGACCCGACTAAAAACAAATGAATGACAAAATTGGCCAGGTCAACAATTATAAGAAAAGAGGTCACAACTTATCGATGAACATCATAATCGTGTGCAATACGGGCGTCAGAATAATTTTAGTTTATGTTGCGTTTACAGTAGTATGTTTTCAGTATATGTTGCTTTTTTATGTACATAACTTTTACCAACTCCAATGCCCTATTGCATGCAGCTCTTCAACAACAATCGGACAACAACAGTGGAGAGATTGATGTTTGGTATAATATATGTATCCAAAATTAGTACCTTACAAAATTAGTACCATCAGGTCCGTAGATTCAAGAGCGAAATATTTTTTCAATAAGTTCCATCAAAACACCATGGAAATTAGACGCCCTCGACAAATAAGAACTTCTCACCATTTTGTCCAGACGAAATAATTAATAAGATCCAATAAGAACCATGACAAAAACCAAACGTTCATTCACAAAAAATACTCAACGACTAAAACAAACACACACGACAGAACTACAAATAAAAACGAAACAAAAAACATTAATATGAATATCCACAACAACATAAACAATAATAATAAAAAAAGTAAAAAAAAATCTTCATTTGTCGTCTTATATCAATTTGCTCGTCAACAAAAAAGATAT